CTCAAGGGGCCAAAGAGTCGCATGTGGCTCGCGAGCCGCAGTTTGCCGACCACTGGGCTAGGATGACCAGAGGACCCCGTGTGTTTGGGACTGTCCCCGTGTGTGCCTGTTGCCCTGGCTTAATCAGTAATAGCATCCCCTTTCCCTCTCAAAAGGGTCCTGGTTTCTCTGTTTAATAATATGGCCACCCAACCTTAACCAAAATAAATGACTAATCATAGGCATTTTGGTAGGCCAACAGGAAAAATAAATTTAGGTAAATGACGTTTTGATGTTTCTCGAATTGCACCCCAGCTCTATGTTCCTATAAAAAGTTAAAGTTCACCAACCTGTAGGAATCAGGGTTTCGTCCACAGGCAAAAAGGCATCGGCTTCTATAGTGACTTCATGGTCGTATATATTCGGGGAACCCTGGGAAGGAAGGGGTAGGGAGGAAGATTTAAAGCTTAGTCCTATTTCATATATTTGCTTTATAACTTCTCTTGCAGAAATGTTTTCAGGCATTGACAAAAACGTTAGACATCCCATGTGACCTCTGAGACGGCTGATACATTCCTTGAAGTGTGGGTAGACAGGGCCTCAAAATAGCAGCTGATACATTTGGGAGAAGCTTTCAAGCGTGACCCCAGCATGCATGTTCTTTACTAAATGAACGTATAAAGGTGCAAAGTCAGGGAGACACCAGTAGTCTGAAAGCTTTTTGGATTTCGACTTTTATTAGCAGAGGGGTTTTTTCCACCTTCCTCACACGCCGGGAAAAACAAGAGCAAGGGTCAGTGACCCATAGCACACAGGGCTGGACGGCCAAGGCCTCGCCTCCAGGCTCGCCAGAGGTGGGGCACGTCACCCTTTCTCTGGCCCAATTCCCTGCCACACGACAGAAGCCTGGAGTCAGAACTGGGGTCCCTGCTTTAGAGCGTTTGTCCATCTCCATAAAGAGGCACCTGCTCTCCTGGGGGAGTCAAAGGCTGGTCAGTGGGCAGAGGCCTGTGGTCTAGTTCCAGCTCTCACTGAGTGGCCACCGGGGAGTCACATAACCTCCTGGAATCTCATTTCCTTTTGTGTAAAACTGGGCTAACGGTGCCCCCACCTTTTCCAGGGCTCTTCTGAAGGACAGTTTAGTAAAGACGTGTTGCGTTGCTTGCAAATTGGAAGATGCACATGTACGTTTCTAATTTAAGGGATTATTTTGATTATTAATAGGAGTCTATTTTAAAGCTCCACAGCAGAAGATACGAAAAGGGAAACCTCTAAAAAAAGTAAACCATTGGTCCTCAACAGGGGCCGATTTTGGCCCACCGGGGAAGAATTTGACAATGTCCAGAGACATTTTTGATGGTCAAGACCGGGGGTGGTAATGCTAATGGCATCTGGTGGGAAGAGATCAGGGATTCTGCTAAACGCTCTACAATGCACAGGACTGCCCTGACCCCTGCAACAGGAATTACCTGGCCGAAATGTCCATAGTGCCAAGACTGAGAAACACTGAGCTAAGCGACACTGACGGTTCTGCGGGTTCGAGAATCAGCAGAGAGAGGCAGAGCGCTGTGGTTAATGGAAAACAGGTACTGTGGTCAGAAAGCCTCCGGCCCACAGAATCAAATGGAAAAGCCTGGCCCCAGCATGCAAGATTGTAGAGACCTTGAGACTCTATGTCTAAACATGGCAGAAACTGTTTGAATTGCTCTACTAAGAAGGTCTGTTTCTGAGGAACATCTCTTGTGTCCTCCTGGCAGGCACCTGCTGGGCAGGGGCAGGGATCGGTGACAGGTCAGACTGGGGCAGAGGTTTCTCCTCTGCTAACACGATCTCAGCCACTTTTTTGGGCCCTGTTCTGACCTGGGAAGGCAGGTCCAAGATGGGAGGGGCCTAGGGCAGCTCTAGACCAGAGGGGTCATCACCTGTGTGGCTCTCCCTACTGCCATCGCTCATGGCTCAGGGGTACAGCCAGCCCCAAGCAGGCCTCTGGGACTGAGGGGTGTCCCTTTTTGATGAGGGAAGAGAATTTGAAATCATTTTAGTAGTGAAACTGGCTCTACCTGTTCAACGCTCAGTTCAAGTTTGAGTAGTATTCCATTACGTGAATATATTACAACTTGTTTACCTTTTCTCCTGTTGACGGACTTTTGCGTTGTTCCAGTTTTTTACTATTATGAATAAAGGTGCTTAGGAATGTCCTGTTTCTGTGTGTTTTTTAACACTAAGGCAGAAAGAAAATGATTCACTATGAAAATCACACGCCAAATGAACTGATGAGTCTGAGATGTTAGCAAGAGGCCAGGGAGGAGAAGGAAAAAACCTTTATTAGGCACCATTAGGTCCTACTGGCTGCTGGGTCACCGAGCAGCACTAACATTCCTTCATTGAAGGGAAGCATGCTTCACTTTCTGACTCCTCTGACCGGGAATAATGCAATGATCCCCTCTGGTGGAATATTTCTGTTGGATTCATTTCCTCCCCGGCGGATGAAAATTTGGCAAGGAATGCTGATTCACAAACAGAACTTGAGGTCCATCTCTGAGCTCAGTGTTTGTTTTGGTGAACTTGGCTTGGCTGTGGCTAGCCTGTAACATTAGCCATGCACAGAGCTCATTGTGGCCTGCGTGGGCTTTAAAGACTTCTTTTGTGCATTGCCACTACCACTGCCTTAATTCAGCTCTTATCGCCTCTAGCAGGAATAACAGACACCATTGGTTACTACCCAACCAAGCCACAGCAACTGCCTTACCAGCACCCTCCCGCTCCCCTGGGAGAACCCTGACCTGTTGCTTTACCCTGTGCTAGGTTATAGATTCAGGGGAAGGACCCCTACCCCGGCCCCAGAGGGCTAATCCTGATTGGTCTAAGCCAGTAGTCGGCAAACTGGGGCTCGCGAGCCACATGCGGCTCTTTGGCCCCTTGAGTGTGGCTCTTCCACAAAACATCACGTGCGGGCGTGCATGTACAGTGCAACTGAAACTTCGTGGCCCATGCACAGAAGTCGGTTTTCGGCCTGGGCGAGTCTATTTTGAAGAAGTGGCGTTAGAAGAAGTGGGGGGTGTTGGTCAGTCGGGCGGCGGGAGAAGTGGCGCGGGGGAGGTACATTGTTTTGAGGTATGTTCGCTGAGGTTGACCCCTTCCAACTCTCCCATCCACACTCGTCTATCTGAAACAAGTATACAAGACGAGTGTGGATGGGAGAGTTGGAAGGGGTCGACCTCAGCGAACGTACCTCAATGAGATCGAGGACGTTTTTAGCAAAGGCCAGCTTAGGAGTATCCTAATTAAGTTAATAACAATGTACCTACCTATATAGTTTAAGTTTAAAAAATTTGGCTCTCAAAAGAAATTTCAATCATTGTACTGTTGATATTTGGCTCTGTTGACTAATGAGTTTGCCGACCACTAGTCTAAGCCAATCCCGGTGGTCTAATTCTCTTGTTGGTGATTGAGTTGAACAGGGCACAGGGCACACTTTTGGCCAACAAAATGTAGGCAAAGTCTGGAGGGGAGCTTCTGGGAAAAGTTTTGCTTGTTCTTAAAAATGGAACATGAGAGATATGGAAAAAAAAAAAGGAATAGGTCCTTTTTTTGTCTCTAGATGTGACTATATGAAGAGGTGGTTTCTAGAGCTGTGGCAACCATCCAGTGACCATGAGAGGACAGCCTGAAGGCAAAGGCCACAGCACTGGAGAAGCAGAATGGAAAGACAGCAGAACCTGGGTCCTTGGTGCCTACCTCCCCAGCCACCCGGAACCACAGTCACTGCTTGTCACCTCACGTTCCCCCAGGCCTGCTTTCACTGCTCTTTAGGTAAAGTTTCAGCAAGAAACATGTTCTCCCAGTTTTGTGTTAGGCAAAAGCAGGAACAGCGAAAAAGAAAAAAACACAAACAACCTACAACCCACATAACTTTTCTATTCTCTGAAAAACACAGTTCTCCCTTCCTCCCAGGTCCCCAACACTCAAACTTAGAAGCGATGAGTCAAAGCCTGGCCCCAAGTAGAACAAAAGTACTATTAAGTTAAAAAAAAAAAAACAAAAGGAGAAAATATATAAGATGAGCTGACTACCTTAAATACCAAGTTTGGATCTATTTCCCTGGGGAGGGTTTAGGATGCATGATGATGTGTCTGTGGGGAGGGCAAGAGATATTCTGAAAACGCAGAGGTCCCTGACCCCAGGCCGAGTTAGACTGACCATCCACTCTTACCTGACAACCCCTGCCCACCCTCAACCCTGGAGCTAGTGGCTGTGGAGTCCAGCTGCACTTACTAAGACAGTTACAGAAGGGAGTTGACACTGACCACCCTTCTAGGTGGGGCCTGTGATCTGGGAAACTATTCAGCCTATGTTAAGAGATTCAGAAATACCTGTCACTTCAGGGATGGGAAGGGTGTATAGTTCTGGTCAGGAGGGTTCTCAGCCAGGGAAATAGGAAGCGCCTCAGTGAATCTTACATTCCCATTAAGTCTCCTCCATCGGAACACATTGGCCGATGTGATACTTCACACATCATTTCTCTTTCCATTCCTGAATCTATTCCTTTAGGCCACCCCTGCTGATAAAATTGGATGTCTAAGTAGATAGAAATGTTGAAAACAGTAAAAAAAAATCACCATGATCTGCTACCTACATTAAACCATAAATATTTTGTTCTATTTTTGTCAAGTTTCTTTCTGAACTTATTTTGAAAAGTAGGGCCTTTATGTTTATTATTGCAGAGCCTTTTATGGCTGGGCGTGTTTGTTTTGTTTTTGTACTTTGGTGTGTCTTTAAGATCTCAAGAAAGATGGTGGGAGTTCCTGAAGATAAGGAGAGAGCAAGTGAAGAAACATATTTCTTATTTTTAAAGGGAGGACTTTGGAAAGTTTATCAGAACCAATTAACTCAAGCTATTTGAAAAGATCCTAGGAAAAAAATCAGATCATCAGCAAACTCCTAAGAGAGTGTGAAAATGCAAGCTATTACTAGCTGGCTGTGAACATCATCTCGTGATAGAAAATCATGCCAAAGTGAGTGATTCAAGTACAGTAGACGCTGATGAGTTCTTCAGATGAACAGGAAGTAATAGATATAATCTGCAGAATTTAGCTAAGCTTTTTGTATTCTGTCTCATGCAATCGCCTCCTCAACAACTAAAATATTAGCATTAGGAGGGAATGAGGTAGTTTAGAAATTACTTAATGGGGGTTGTAATGTCCCTACCCCACACTCAGGGTGGGCCACACAGTAGGAGCACACAAATATTCTCAGCATATCTAAAGGGCTTGGGCAGAGCACATTCCCAAAGGTCCAAGGGTAGAAAGCACTTTTCTTGGAAGTAATTTTTTAGGGGGACGGGGTGTAGGAGTGAAGTAGGTGAAGCAAGTGTAAGTACATGTTGTTAGTTGAGAGGGAATTCTTAAAATAGCTAGTTAGTTACCTGAGCATATAGGAAACTTAGTTCTCTTGGCAGCAGAACATACTCATCCTATCTTTCCCTATAACTTTCATTTATTGAGCACCTACTATGAGCCAGATGCTTTGCTGGGCAATGTCATCATCATGGGGGTGACCCCATCACCAGGGTAATTTCATGTTGGGTTGGTCTCTCCAGTCACTCCCCCAGCTCATTCCACAAAGCACATCGCAGGAGAGAAGAGGCAAGGTCACTCACCTGGCCTGCCAGGTTGAAATAAGAATGGTTGGTCAGGTTGACGGGTGTGGTCTGACTGGCCTGCGCTCGGTAGTTGATCACGAGCTCCCCACCATCCAGCGTGTATGTTACCCAGACTTTTAACTCCCCAGGGTAACCTTCCTCGCCGTCCGGACTGACCCGGGAGAACTGGACGCCATTTGACAGCACCTGAGGGGTCCAGAGCACCTAGAAAAAAAGTGTTTTCAAAGCTGTTTAGTCACTCCAATCCCAAGCTAAATGCCACATTTCAATATCAAAGACAACTGATTCCAGGAAGGGAGATGATGATACAACCCATAAGGTTGAAAATAATAGCCTAGATGTTAATTATTCCGAAATCCTGTTTTAAACAGAATTGGAGAGAAAAGAGATTTTCTCTTTACCTACTCACACTTCTCATACTCTATCCCCCTGAATTTATACATATGTGTCTACAGTATTTTCTTCCCCTACTTTGAGACTTTTTTTGTTGAAATCTTAGCAGTACATTCTGAGTGTCATATAGTGATATCTGCTACCTGCTAATAGTATTAAAAATAACCTTGCCTAGCCCGCGTGGCTCAGTGGTTGAACATCCATCTGTAAACCAGGAGGTCACGGGATCGATTCCCAGTCAGGGCACATGCCCGGGTTGCAGGCTCAATCCCCAGTGAGGGGAGAACAGGGGGCACTTTGGCAGACATGAGACTGTCATTGTTGAGTGCTCACCAGCCGCTGACCTGGTGCTTTTATGTAAATCATTTCACAAGGTAAGGATTTGGTGGGAACAAAAAAATTATCATCTTTGCAGGTCAAAATAGTTGAACAGTGGCAATTTCACATGGTTCTAATTAATATTATTACTCCCATTTTATGGATGAGTAAATTGAGTTCAGTGGAGTTAACTTGCTCACTTCTACCTCCCACACCCCAGGGGAGTGGAGTAGAAACCTTTAATACGTCATGGCCACTGTTTAAAGGGTGTATTTGTGTGTGTGTGTGTGTGTCAAGTCATACACGTAATTAGTGACAGAGCTAGGATTCAAATTCAGGTCTAGGAGAAACCAAGATGGCGGCATAGGTTAACGCCGGAGTTTGCTGCCTCTAACAACCACTTCAAAAATACAACTAAAAGACGGAACGGACATCATCCAGAACCACAGGAAGGCTGGCTGAATGGAAGTTCTACAACTAGGAGGAACCGAGAATCAGAGGAGGCGCAGTGCTGAAGTAAAATACTAAGGTGCGGAGTGCGCGTGGCGTGGGCTGGTGGCTGAGAGCGCGGTTGTCTGTTTCAATCCGGAGGGAGCCTCAGACTCAGAGCTCCAGATCTGGGCGAGTCTCTAGGAACCCAGACTCAAACGGGAGAAGCAGGACTGTCTGGCTACGGTCCCTCCTAGGTTTGCAGCTGTTGCTGGGACAGAGAGGCAGAGCCCCTGGGGACGGACTGAGAGCAGCCATAACTGCTCCCTCCTCCGCCCTGTTGATCCCGTGGGACCCGCCCCGCCCAAGCCCTGCACAGAGGCATTTGCCGGATAGCCTCAGGCAAAGGCTAGATTAGCACAGCCAGTCGGCCTGGAGGTCAAATCCCTCTAGTATTAACTATAACAATCAAGGCTTAACTACAACAAGCCTGCGCACAAAGACCACTAGGGGGTGGACCAAGAAAGCGTAAAAAATGCGGAGACAAAGAAACAGGACAAAACTATCAAGGGAGGATATTGAGTTCAGAACCACACTTTTGAGGTCTCTCAAGAGGCTTCTAGAGTCTGTCGATAAACTTGATGAGTTGTACAGGAAATCTAATGAGACCCTTGATGGTGTGATAAAGGACCATCTAGAAAGTAAGCATACACTGACTGAAATAAAGAATATTATACAGACTCCCAACAGCAGACCAGAGGAGGGCAAGAATCAAGTCAAAGATTTGAAATGCGAAGAAGCGAGAAACACCCAACCGGAAAAGCAAAATGAAAAAAGAACCCAAAAATACGAAGATAGTGTAAGGAGCTCTGGGACAGCTTCAAACGTACCAACATCAGAATTATAGGGGTACCAGAAGATGAGAGAGAGCAAGATATTGAAAACCTATTTGAAGAAATAATGACAGAAAACTTCCCCCACCTGGTGAAAGAAATAGACTTCCAGGTCCAGGAAGCGCAGAGAACCCCAAACAAAAGGAATCCAAAGAGGACCACACCAAGACACATCATAATTAAAATGCCAAGAGCAAAAGACAAAGAGAGAATCTTAAAAGCAGCAAGAGAAAGAAACTCAGTTACCTACAAGGGAATACCCATACGACTGTCAGCTGATTTCTCAACAGAAACTTTGCAGGCCAGAAG